ACTACTAATACAGTTCTTTTCCCCAAACGAAGCAAGTCATGCTTATCTTACATTACCAGACCATTACTGGAAGTACTATGCCAGACCCTCAGCTGGCATATATCAACGTGACCCTATTCACTTCAGTGCAGCTATGTTGATTTATGTGAGCTGAAAAGTATGTACTGGTCAAAAAGTGACTATTTCATCTTACAAAACTGTAAAAGTGACTAAGTGAAATGCAAGGGAAATCAAAGGAAAGGCAGTATGTATAATATAAAGAAAATAACAGAAAGGAAAGTACTACAGAAAGGTTCAAAGTAGATGTATATTTTATTAAGATTAGTCTAACATAGGCACTAATTTTTCTTCATATGAAATTTTAGATAATAGTTTCTGCTGTTACATACACATGTATCTCTTGAGTATGGACACAAGTACTTGTGCAATTTAATAACGCTGTACTATTCCCAAATTAAGAGGTAAGGCTCAGGCAGCGGGTTCAGCCAACCTGGAATTTATCACTGGTGTTTTTGTAAAGTCACTCTGACTGTCAGAACATGAAACATCATACTTAAAAGAAAGCCCAAACAGCAAACTTAAGTGCTCAGCTTTACAGTATGGCATTGCATCTTAAGAACTACTCCTATGACAGTCTTTCTCTCATAGGGCAAGATAAAAGTAGGAAACCAAATGTTCTCAAAGCCAGGACTTCTTTCAAGCCTTTGTGATTTTGAGGAATACGACACCACTCATATTAGACTTAAGCACTCTTTACCCTTATGAACTCTGCGTAGACTTCCCTGTTATTACACAGGCTACATGAGATTAACTACTGATGCTCCTTTCTGAGTTTAAACCAGAAGGCTCAAAAGAAGAACTGGCATTCTGAAATAAGAGGTGTGTATTCCTAAACTCTTTTCACAAGGAAGCAGTTCTTGAGATTAGATAGTTCTCATTTTCACTAGGTTTGTGTATTGCTGTCCCTACAGTACAATATCAGAACACTATATAAAGAGGGATTGTGACAGATGTACTTGACCTTCTTAACCAAACTAGCAGCAGCTTAGTTGAGGCCCCAAAGGAGGTAAAGGCCTGAGCTGTAGCTGGGTAAAGAACTCCTCCAGGAAACCCACAAAGGGCCAGAGTGACCCACAGTGCACCAATGCACATGCGCTTGGAACACATGAATAGTGGGTGGTTTTTCCAAGATTCAATTATCAAGGAACAAAGAAAGTTGTGGGTACAAAAAGTCTCATACATACCTTTCCCATCACATGTAATCTGACTACAAGCCAACCACTTTATCCCATAAAGATGAGAGCCTAAATGAGCCGTCTTTGAGGTCTCCCTGCTAGGCAATGTGGCAGTGCTCTCCTTGAGTTAGGATGCCTCTTGAGCCAGAAAGACCTTTCTACTCATGACAGATCTCTGGATAAGTCCAGTTTGAGTTCTCTTTAAATTGCAACTGGACTTCATGGCAGTGCCTCTCCCCTTGATCTGGAACCCATCTCAAGGTTTGAGATTCCTTGCCTGGGACTTCACTACCCAAGGTGGAGAGATCCCTTATTCATAACAGATGCTCAGTAAGTTGCAGAGCATGCTAGTTCATTAATATTAATGAATAAATGAAAGAATTAATTCCTTTAGACATAAACTATTGTACAGGTCTGAGACTAAGATTGGAACTACCTTCACTGAAGTTCCACCAGGAGTTTAGAAAGCAAGGAAGTGCACCCTGAACCTCATGACTCAGTGGGTCTCCCTTACACTGAAGTGTTTTTGGTTTCTGTGTAAATCATTGTAAATTGATTCTAACTCAATTTTCCTTTGTATGTAGTAAATGAGAGTGAATCTTGCCTTCAAACTTTGTTAAGTCATACTTTTATAAATTCATACAAAAACTATTTTTGTTAATAGTTTTGAGGGTGATTCTTTGAGGGACCCTAAACCACTCATTTACAATACAGATCATGAAACAAACTCTTTACAATTGTCTACTCAATTCAACATCAGTGACCAGCTGCTAAAAGCCACTTGACAGGCAACTGCAATTCATCATCCTTCACCGTGAGGACTGGTACTTCAAATACAAATACTTCTGTATTTGATCACAGTCCACAATTCAGCCTGCTAGGTACGAAAAATGCATTCTGCTTATCCTTAACAGTGCCTTACAATGTAGCATACCTCATGGATCCCTGCCTACAAGAAATACTGGGGTTTGTCTCTTCACAATGTTTTCCTAGAAATACATTCACTGTAGGAAGCCTACAGAAATTTTCAGAAGTATGGTTAACACTTTAGACATGCACTGTTTGCCAGGACTGATCATAGAATCACACAATGTTAAAGGGTTGGAATGGACCTTAAAGATCATCTAGTTTTAATCCCACTTGCCATGGGCAGGGACACCTCCCACTAGACCAAGTTGCTCGAGGCCTTTTCCAACCTGGCGTTGAACACTGCAAAGTTTGGAGCATCCACAACTTCCCTGGGTAACCTGTTCCATGTCTAACCATCGTCTTTTAAATATCTAATAACCATTTCTTCTAAATATTTAAACTTCCCCCCTTTCAATTTGTACCCATTATTCCTTGTCCTGTCACTACAGTTCCTCATGAAAAGTCCTTCTTCGGCTTCCCTGTAGGTCCCCTTCAGATACTGGAAAGTTGCTAGGAGATTTCCATGAAATCTTCTCTTCTCCAGGCTGAACAGCCCCAACTTCCCCAGTCTATCTTCATAAGAGTGACGCTCCAGTCCTCTTATCAACTTCATTGTCCCTCTTCTGCACTTGCTGCAACAGTTCCATGTCCTTTGATCAACTCTGCACCTCAGCAAGAGACACTGCCACAAAATTCTGTTCTTCTCTGACTACTGGGCATCAGGTTATGTGTAGATGAGATGCACATAGTGTGTGCACCACCAATGGGATGTTGTATTTGATCCATTCAGTGTAATGCTAAACCAACTGGAATAATGGTATGTAATACGGGAAGAAAATATGTGTTGGTTTATTTTGGTATTCCCAATCTCTGAAATCAGTAGAATAAAAAAAGGTCAAACCATAAGGCATTTTAAAATTTCCATGTATATTAGCCTCTGAGCATAGGAATTAGAAATCACAGTCAAGTCTTCCTTTTCTCCCAAAGTGCCTTTCTAGTCTTCAAAAGTATTAGGAAAGTGATGAATGGCTATCAAGAAACAACCTCAAAACTACTTTTCTTCCACTTTCTTACCTGTACAGTTTTTCAGACTTTCTACCATAAAACCACTATGCAAATGGCACTAGCCTGTGGTTACAGTCACTTTCATGGCATGTACTCCTCCTACGGCAAACAGAGCATTTCTAGGACAAGATTCCTGTTCATGGCATAAGGGGCTTAAAACTGCACCCAGTACATACACACAATGAAAAGTACAGCCTTAGGCTTCAAAGCACAAACTTGGGTTCTCCATGGGGACATTAAATGTGTTGAAAAGGACTTTAGATTGGTAACTCCATTGCAGCAGTGTCACATCAGGAACAAATGTCAGAGGGATCAAAATAGCAATGAGTACTGAAGTTTTCCTCCTTCAAAATGGCAGAAGTCTACAGAGGAGCAGCACAAATGGTAAATGAGTTTGCATAATTTCCATCTTGTAGCTCCTTAGTGTTACTAGAAATCATGCCAAGCAAATATTAGTTATTGCATATTCTTTCTTTATGTTGACCAGAATGTTTTAATTACATAGTAATAACTCAGAGTAATTTGGACATCAGTTTACAGCACACTGAGAATATACTTCGGTAGACTCTCTAATAGAAAGCAAAGTATTAGGGCTTCTAAATGAAGCAATGTAGTAAATTTGATTTTCTTTTAATTTTGAGCTTGTGCTGTCATTTGCTTCAGTGAAGTGATGCACCAGCTTCTACCACCAAATGTTTGATGCACTATTTACTGTAAATGCTGCCTACCCAGTGTATGATGAGATTTCACAGCTGTGACTTCCAAAGACTGAAATCAATATTTAAATCCTTTTTTTATCAACTCCTTTTTTCTCTTCTTTTTTTCTTCCCCCCCACAAGCACAGTTACAATTATGGTCTATTTTACATTTGTAAGCATGATTAAAATTTTGTGCCAGGTTATAATTTATATAATTGCATTCCTGTAAAACTTGAATTTATTTTTCATTTAGAAACAGACCACAACAAAAGGCTTCTGCACTGAGAACCCCGTTCTCTGTGCTAATATAAAAGTTTAATTTTAGAGTGTTTTCTATAGTCACAGTACTTACTTAAAGAGCAGAGGAAAACTGTCATTGTTAAAGAGACTTATAATTAGCCATAAACTCTTACTCAAAATACCAGCATTAATTGTTCATAAAGTACTGTAAGCGGAAAAGGGATGATTAAGTGGAATTTAAGCTGCATTGCTATTAAGGATTAAACTGAAAGGCATTTTAAAGCCATGTGTTAAAAGCCGTCTTGTCAGAAGGCATGGGCTATAATTCAAAATTTTTTCAAAACACACCAGGCTGTACTCATTAGTCTTTTGAATTTAGAGCATCTATTATTTCTGTCTCTCAATTTGACATTTATATGCAAATAAAAATCTTCAGCATATGCCACACCTGAAATTGCATCTGTTTATGTAGTTGCCCAACTAAACATTCAGAAAACTTTCCTTTTTAAATGTGTCTTTTTAACATTTTAGCCTTAACTTATTATCAAGAAGGAAAGAGAATGCAGGGATGTTATGTTATTGCAGTATCTCTCTTTTGATACACAAAGTTAGGTACACAAACCTCCCTTCAGCATCAGAGGGCTACAAAATGGAATACGATGCTCAAAAGGGAAAGCTGCTGCTCTGTAGGCTCTGCCAGAAGGGCGACATTAAACACCATGAGTACGTTACAAGTCATGACACCCTCCCTATGGAATTCTGGCGAGTTTAAATGAAACCTGTGGATACGTTGTTTCATTGTTCTGATCAGATGTATGCAAAGTCGGGAAGAGGTTCACATGGATTTTCTAACCTCTCCTGGGGCTTTCATGATTGAAGAGGATCCCGTTCACAGCAAAGAGATTGTAGGCTTCTCTGAAGTTCACCACAATCCAGTAGGCATACAGTTTTGCTGCCCCTATAAAAATAATTTTGAAGCGTAATTATATATCCGCTCAGCTTGTACACAGCTCAGACACAGACACACACACATCTATTTCACATGCAGGGTGAAGTCCACATTTCAACAGCAGAGTGCTTTAGAATTTGATTAATTCCCTATATGGGTCAAATTTTATATGGAAAAAAAAATCCAGCCCAATAAACAGCAGTTGACAGGGAAAATACTCATCTTCTGTGCAGCCTCTGAGCTGGCCAGAAAGCATTAGGGCACCTTCTCACTTGTTTTCTTATGCACACTCAAGCACAGCATTTTTTCTTTTACAATATAATTAACACAGAGCGTGTGAAATACACCACTGTGGTGACCTCTGCTAATGAAAAAAAAACAAACAAAAAAATAACTTTGAAGGAATAAAAGCGAAAATCTGGTGCCTTAACACTTAAATTGATTTGAAAGTTTATCACCAAAGTCCTCCATGCCCATTGCTTTAATAAGTGTTTCAAATTTCATGCAAGTTCATGAAGGAAGAAGTGCGCTCTTGGGAGTTTTTCATTTAGGCAACAAAAAACCCGAAACCTTATCACTTCAGTGGTACCTCACAACCCTTTGTGAAGGAAGAGTCACCCTGCCTTTTCCAGCCCCACCCCCTGTCTCCCCCGTCAAGAGCTCTTCATCTCTGAGCTGAATGAACAAGGTCTTGTGAAGTGAGATGCTAATTTCCAACCCCCAGGCAATGGCAGCAAATACTTTTTATATAGTCATTCATAAAGGTATGCCTCTCGACATGTCTAGTCACTTTAGCTCTATCATGATTCTAATCTCACACACAAATGACTTCAGCCCTGAGACATGAGCAGGGAGAACAGACAGACAGACACTATACACACACACCATCAGCAATCCTCACCGTAAGGCGATCTTGGGTAAAAAGGGGTGGTCTCCTTTTGCGGGATTTCTTGCACTTTTCCAAAAAGTTCACTGGTGGAGGCTTGGTAGAACTTCACAGAGTTGATAAGGCCACAGGTCTTAATAGCATCTAGGAGTCGCAAAGTGCCAACTCCATCAACGTCAGCAGTATATTCTGCTAGGTCGAAAGAAATCTTGGGGAGAGAAAGAAATAAAATCCCACTAATTTTACTAGGGGAATCAGAACACGCTGTGATCATGCACAACCAAACAAAGTAATACATCACTTGTCACAGACCATCTAAACACTTCTGTACAGAGTAGATACTCAGAATACAAAAGTATCCTCAAAGGATTTCCAAGAATAAATAAGTAGTTCCATAAATAGCAGAACAAAAAGACTAGTGTTCCCTGGGATTATTTTCCCATGTGAAGTAAGGCGTAAGCCTCCCCCCAGTGGGAACATTATCAGGCACTCTTATCTCCACAGCTGCCAATTTTCACAACATTCACTTGGGCTTAACGTATTTGACACACTTGGATTTGGTTATAATTGCCCAAAATATATTTTAAAAAAATAATTGGCTAGACAGACAGCATGACAGCACAAACATATATCAAAAAACCCCCAAAACTTTAAACAACATGCGAAGTTTTGCAATTTTAACATACATCAAAGTTCAGAGAAGACTAGAAATATCTGCTATCAAAATGAGACTAGCCACCCCATCTGACCAAGGTGTACCAGAGCTGTTGCTTTTGGACAGAGGTTAGGGGGATGATGAAGTGTGAGAGCAAAGGGTCGAGGTATCCTAAAGAAACCGGACATCTCCAGTTGATGTATTCTTCAAAGTATGATAATAAACTCATGCACGCTGGTGGGCCAAGAGTCCTTTTTCTCTCCCCACTCCAGTATTTCTCAGTTATCTCTATGATGAGCTTGTGGCCTATGCCACAATCAATGCTCAAGTCTAAGATTTCAGAGTATTTAAAAAATATATTAGTTCTTTCCCTTTCAGTTAGAGCAGAAAAAAAAAAAGTAAGAGATCTGTTGTGACCACCTCAATTTGCAGGCAGGAGAAAACATGTTCAGAAGGAAGCTCACTCTTTTTGCTTGGTGGGTACAGGTTGGTTTTTTGGATGTTCTGATAAAGCTCCTGGACTCTAAGGAATTTTTTCCCACCAGTTCCCACCCCAGAGGCATGTTCCTCCCTCTACACTTTCTCTCCAATCCAGGGATTTTGCCTATGTTGGTTTTCAAAAAAAATTTCCCTGTTTATACTGACAATGTTATAAAAAGTAAGGAGAATGGACTTTTAGAGCTATCTCCCTCATGGTCCCGAAGAATTATTCTACCTATGTCCCCTCTGGCTGATGATTGACTTCCAGAAACGAGCTATAGAGTGATGGCAACATTGCAGTCCCTTTCTAATATCTATGCTGGATGTTAGTGAGACACTACCGGTATCAGATAGTACAAATCTACAATATTCCCTTCATTAGTCTTCAGTGACAGGGTAGCTACTAATGGAGTAGAGAGTAAATGACCATAGTTGGACAAGCTGAGGTGTCACAGTGAAAGCAGTGGGAAACCTGTCACTTACCAGTTAGTTTTTTCAGGATCTTTGCAGATTCAGACAGATAGCCCTATATTAATTTCTTTTGTTAAGCCATTTTCCCTATTCAGTAATTACTGGAAGTTTAAGGCTTATTTATACAGTAGATTGAAAAAAAAAAAAATTCAATTAATTTGAATTTGCACTTTTGGTTAATTTAATATAGGTATGAAATTATCTGAATTGTGTTCCTGTTCTCCAAAATAAAATGATTCTCCCAGAGTTTTAATCTGAAATAGCTAACAGTATGAACAAAACCAAACCTTAATTTTTTTTTTTTTTTAACCAAAAGAACCACCCCCCCAAAACGAAACCCGATATTTTGTCTTGTTAACGTGGTATGACCCAGCTGAAATTGAGCACTGATCTACCAAGAAGTGATGTGCATTTTTTGTTTTAATTCCTTTGGCACAAAGATGACAGACACTTAAGGTCTCTCAGCTTCAGTGTCTAAGTAACTCTGAGGAAAACATTTTAATGAATAGGTGATACAGCCAACAACGCACTAAGGAACATAAATTTGTATATTAACCACACGTCCCAGGTTTCCAACAAAAGGCAAAACACTTACTAATTGTAGCAGAACCAAGAATTTACTTATATTAAGGTAGTTTCCAACAAACAACCCTGAAAAACACATCACCCTGAAATGCAAATCTTTGCTTACATATCCTACTACAAAGTAAATGGCACATGTAACTGAGGTAGTCTGAGATCACAGATTATAAAACCTCTTAACCAGAGGGGGCAATGAGGCTGGAGCAGCACTGGAAAATGCTCTCCCTGGCTGATGCAGAGACCAATTTCACAAGAGATGCTTTTCCCTATTGCCTGACGAATGACCTCAATCTTCACCTACAAAAAAACACTCCCTGGGGTGTGAGGTAATTGTGCCTCCATGACTACTGGGTCTGAGTGTCCCCAGGCAGAAACCACCAGTTTTGTGTCAGTTGGGTGGTTTTATAATGCAGACAATTGTTCACCAGAGTCAAGATTCAGACCACTAAATTAATTTCATTTTGGAGTGCAGGTTAGACAAGAATGGCATTCATGAAAATAAAAAATGGTTTTATCTACTAAAACATCAAACACCAAAAATTCTGGACTGTTAAGACACCTTGTAACAACAGGCAGTAACACTGCAAATATAGATAAAAACAAACCAAATTTTAATTTGATTTTAATTCAAAGTTAAAAATGCAAAAGAGTCTTATAAGATTAAGTAGTTAAAAATAAAGCAGGGCAGAGTAGGAAAAGGTGATAAGTTATCCCTTACCACATTATTTCCCTCTCCTTATACACATTATTTTGTGCAAGACCCACAGGAAGACTGAACTGTAAAAAAAAACCCAACAAAAACCCAACAAAAACCACAAACAAAAAACCCAACCAACCAAAACCAAACCAAAACAAAAACCCAAACAAACCCCACAAATAAACAAAAAACCTCCCAAAAAACCCCTCAAAACCAAACCAAAGCAAAAAAAAAAAACGAACAAAAGAAAGGCAGGGACCTCATTAAGAGGTGTGCAAGAGAGAACTGACATGCATGCATAACACAAGAGAAGACTGGGTTATAGAAACAAAATATAGAATCAGATCCAATAGATGTTACTCATAAAAATAATCTCCACTGGTGTACTGAGCTCCAGTAGTGCAAATACCTGGGAGAGTAGACATGTCATGGAAATGATTGTAAAGGCAGGTGTATGAAGGCTAAGAACAAGTCATACTTTATGAAAGATTAAACACTTACCCAGTGGAAAAAAGTGCTTAGATAATACCTACAGATGAGAGCTTTCAAACTGCCTATTTTATGACAACTTTCTTAACTGCCTGAATTAGGAAGATTGTCTTCCTGCACACCAATAAAGACAGTGGTGAGTCACAGCAGAAGGCCTAATGAAGATGCTCCTGATCATGCTTTGGCAAAACCATATACACACTCCTCTATTAATTCAGCTACCTAAAATAGATGCTCCATTCTTTCCTCAAAAATCCAAAATTATCCGTTACTATCAACTGCAAAAAGCAAGACCTGCAATTACAAGTTGTTTTGAAGGATGCACCAGAATTTTTTTTGTAATGACTGGAAAAGGGAAAAGAAGCTTCTTTGAATGGCAGAAACTTTAAATCTGCAAGTTTTCTCAATGAATATTAAAGTCATGGATCCAATACTACTTTGCCTTCTTTGGACAGACTTTGTGACAAAGAGAAAGCACGACATACCAACAAAACAGAAACTGCCTGCTTGGAACATGTTAGTCTGAGTGACCTTGGCACTCCCTTCCCATGTATAATGGGGACACTATGCTTTTGCAGTTGTCATTATTGATCCTGGAGATACTGTAAAGTATATTCTTCAGATATGTCTATTTATTCCATTCAATAGGTAGTGATAAGTGTGCCATTAAAAGTGGACAGAACACTAAGGAGACACTTAAATCCTTGGTCAAAAGTACTTCAAATTCCAGGGTTTCACATTATGAACACTGCAGAATTTCCTCAAAGAACACTAAAACACAAACAGACTCCTTATGTACATAGGAGTTCTATATACTGAGTATCTTCACTGCTGGATTCATCCCTAATATAGTACATTTCAAATATATTCTTAGGCAAGAAAAGATTTCCACAGCAAGGTTCACCCACAGAATGGTAACATTTTCTTGAAAAAAGCAGTTTCATTAGTTATAACACTTTGGAATCACAGGACACAATATCCACATAATTTGTCTTCTTTCATGTGGCTGCAATCAGAATGAGTTTTGTGAACTTATTTCTACCTTTTGAATTTGAACTCTTGCATTACCTCCCTCCCATTTCTTTATAATCACCAGATTCAATCTCTACAAGAGATTTGAATTTAATAGAGAGATGTTTTAAATATGATGTTTCCCAACTGATTATTCAAAAGCAAGCTTAGCAAGGTCTTTAACAAGATTTAAAAGCTTACTGAAAATTATCTAAATGAAAACATATGGGTCTTACCCTCCACAAGACCACATTCCTATCATGTCTATAAGCACTACATACAAGACTGTCGACTTAGTAATACTTGCTTCTGACCAGAGCATTGTCAGCACTGGTGATATTCTGAAAATTATCAAACACAGGTTTGGCTTTGTGAGATACTTCATCTCTGTTTTTTCATTTGGAACAATTCAACAGATGGGCTGCAGTCATATAAACTATCAGTTTTCAACCAAAAAAACCCCTGTATTCCAGCAGAATATCCTTTAATGCTCTACCTAAGGAATATAAATAATGATTTGAAACTTTATCTCTTTCTTACAGCTTTCTCAGTTTCAGAAGATGGAATTTCTGGAAGGCTAGTGTTAATAAGAGGGAATTGTGAAAAGGTTTTGTGAAACTCTAAAGGAAATAGGATAATATAAACATAAATTATTATTCTTTCTCTGTAAAAGGAAAGGTGGCTAACCTAACTATAACATCAAAATAAGCATCTTTGCTCTCTTGAAAAAACCTACTGTAGATTCTTGAGACTTAGCAAAGTAGAAGATATGTATTGGGTCATTGAGAAAGGTTTAGACCTGAAAAGCAAATCACAGAACAAA